CCCCAAAACCCCAAAACCCCAAAACCCCAAAACCCCTCTAAATTTTAGAAATATTGATAAATAATTTAGGATATTTTCCATGTTTACCAGAGGAAAGAAGACAACAGGAATGTTCGGGCAAATCAACCCTGAGAAGCGCAGCCTGTTTGACAGGAACAATAATGATTCTGAAGAGACTAAGTCAAAGGGGGCAGCTGCAAACAACTTCGGCACACAGCCAGGACGGAACATTTTCGGCCAAAGTGAGTTACAGCCATCTACAATTCAATGAGCCAGCAGTGGACTAAGGTCACTTCGTAGAAATGATGCTGATATGGAAGGCACTGAAGAGACAAAGCAGGCAGATATTACTTCTTTAGCAAGGAATGCTAACCAGGATGGCTTCAAGAAGCTTACTGATGAAGTTGAGGAATCAATTATTCGTGCTTTGAGTGATAACCGCAAAGAACAACTAAAATGCCTTAAAGAGATGAACCAAAGGAGAAACGAAGAAATAAACATCAAGAAAATCCCAATGAAAATCGACTCAGACTCTCATGGCTCTGTGGATATGGTCAAAAAGCCTAATTTTGTCAAGGAGGCTAATCTCATGAACTTTAAGGATCTCCAAAACTTCAGAAACATTATTGACAAACATTATGGAGAGCTTTCTCAGAAGTTTAGTAATTCAAAAGACACAGATGAGTTCGTCCTCACTGAGATTAACCTGGTTTCTCTTTTCTTTTACTGCTTCCACCTTGTAGAACCGACCTATGTCCCATACTTGATGAAGACAGTTGTAGAGGCTTTGAATAAGAGAGTAGAGCCTGATTTGAATAATATCAACGAAGAGAATGTTTCTATGGAGCTATTCAAACTTCTCCACACACTCCAATTTGAGAAGGCTTACGAGCTCCTGTCAAGTTTCGAAAAGAGCGCTGATGTTTATGAGGAAATTGGGAACATTATTCATCCTATCAAGCAATATTTCACTAATGGATTCACTCAGTCCTATCAGAATTATGAAGTAGAGCAAATGTTTAACAATATGACAGTAAGAGCCAAGCACAGCTATGATTTGTATTCCCATATCGAGAACTTGGCGGAAAAGCCAGAGATTAAGAGAATCTTGCCATGCTTAAAACTTCTTTCAGGAGACCTTGAAGCCACAATTGATGATAAGAAGACTGAGATCCTTCATGAGCTTTGCTTGAGATATATCTACACTCGTGCTATTCCAAATGAAGAGAATAAGCAGGAGTGGAAGAATGAGCTACTCGAGCAGGTTGCCCAGCTAACTGATAAAGATCAGAAGGAATTCCATATTGAATTCCTTGACATAATCCTAGACGATCCTTACCAAAAGTTTGATGATATAAAGGGAAGATACCCCGCTTGGCTGAGTGAATTCTTGCTCTATCTTTGGGATACCAATGGAATACTCAATGAGGAGCCATTCCGTGAATGAGTAAATCTTGACATGAAGGACGATTGCACCATTATCGAAGCTGGCACTGAAGAATATGTCAAGTACATTATTTCACTTGAGTAAGTCCAATCACTGACTTTTAGATTAAAGGATTCCATTAATATCTGTGATCCGTACTTGAGACTTCTTGATGACGAGGGCATAGTCGAATGTTTAGCTGCGTTAAGCAAGTTTGACTACTCCCCAGGTGATCAGAATTCTTATCTCGCGTACAGGAAGATTTATGAAAGAGAGTACAAGTCCAGAGAGATTGAAGAGCTTAAAACCCATTACGAAGAAACCATTGTTGATGGCAGAGCCAAGCACTTCCAAGATCAAGACAAAGGAAAGGAAGCCAGAGCTAATTTTTATGAAGTCCTCAAGCATTTCTCTGAGAGAAGAAGTCTCCAGAAGTTTAATATGGAGATAATTAGAAGACTTAACGAGATTTTCCAGAAGAATATTGACCCAAGTGACCTTATTGATGAAGAAATGCCGGAATTTTCTGTATGGAGGAAGAGATCAGAGCCATTCAACTTCCTTGCGACTTATTGTGACTTATTCTCAGCACTAAGAACAACGAAAGACAATCATAGTATAAATGAATCGCTGAGAGAGATCTTTGGCATGATAGAGAGTCCTATTCAGTATAAGATCTTAGTGATTCATATGGTCTCTAACTACCTCTTACACGAGGAGATCAATGTTGACCAGGCTATTATAATGGAGATGATGACTCTTTTTGAGCAATTTGACTCTAAAGATCCCATGCTGACTGATAAGTACTTCTTAAACCCTCTACAGCCACTTAACTCCCAAGATAAGCTACTGATTAGAAATGCATTGAAGGACTCACTGACTTGTGGCCTAATAAGAGGATAACCTAAATTTTGAAAAACGATGTGAAGTTTTAGTTTTTCAAGGTTCCAAACCTTGTCAGGGGTTTTGGGGTTTTGGGGTTTTGGGGTTTTGGGG